CACCAATTCCACCCTCCACTCCCCACCCCTCCACTTCTACCCCCTCACCCCTCCACCTCTACCCTCTACCCTCCACTCTTCTCCCCCCACCCCTCCCCACCTTTACAGATGAGGAAATGGAAGTTCAGAGAGGGTGTGAGGCCCAGGGCTGGTCCGTTTCAGACAGACTTGAGGTCCCTTCCAGTGCTGACAGTCGGGAACTTGGCAACATGCCCCATGGACGAAATACAGAGATCGGGCCCTGAAAATAGCAACTCTTAAAATATGAATCCACTGTGATGCGCCACGTAGGGCCTCCTTCCAATCGGGGCCCCGCATTCCGAGTGAAATCAGGGTGGGAACCCCCTCCTGTGTCCCTGGGCCCTGCCCTCCGCCCTGGGGGTGGGGCTGGGGGCTGTTTGCGTGTGTCCTTTGCAGCTGGAAGGTGCTGGGGGTCTGGCTGCTTCGGATCTCTGTAGGGTTAGCACATGGGTCCCACCCCCGCATGCGTCACAGCGCCATCGGGAGGGAGTGCGCCCCGGCCCCATCACGCCGGCTGATGGCCCTGCTCTGGGGACGTGGCAGCCAGACAAGAGCATGCTCTCTGGTTCCCAGAGGAATCCCAGCCCATCACTGGGCCCTGCGCTTTAGTGAAGCTCCGCCTGCATGCCCCAGGCTAAGAGTTCCCCCCAAATCCTTGGGAATGCAGGGAGCCCGTGCGGGCCTCTGTCTTCCCCTAAGCAGGGCAGGACTCCCAGGCCCCAGGGACACCAGAATCCCAGCGGGCTGGTTGGGAACGCGGGCTCCCGGGCCTCGCCCAGAGTCTGAGGCTGCGGCTGTCCCAGCACCAGGCCTCATGGTCAGGATGTAGGTTTAGGTGCTTTAACAACGAGCAAAATAAACATGACTGAAACAAACACATCCTCACCCTAACGCGTGGAGCATGTGATATTATCCCACTTACGGCTGGGAAACTGAGGCTGGGGGCGGGGGAGGGGGCGGTGCCCCAGGGCCAGCAAGAGGCAGATTCGGGGCTGGACCCCGGCCTCTCCCATCTGCCTTCCCCCACGTCCCCCGCTACCCTCGTGCACGTCAGCAGCACGATTCTTTCTCTGGTGGTAAAATAGCCACCGATTTCCGTTTCACAGACGCGCTTCCTCCCCCATCAGGGTGTCTGTCTGTCCTCTTTGCTGCGTGAGATCCTCAGCACGGATCCCCCAGCGCCCAGGCCACGGGATGCCCACCCAGGCCTCTGGGTCCCCCTCGCCGTCGGGAGCCGAGCCATTTCTGTGCTGGTTTCTAAATAGCCGAGCTGACATTTCGTGCTGAGTTTTATTTGGGGGCCGGGAATCATTCCGGAGCAAGAGCTGGTTTTATGGCCTCAATACGTCCTTTCCATCAAAGTGTCGTTTGCCGGCTCTGACATGATGGCCGTCCCCCCGCTGGCTGCTCCAGCGCCCTCTGCACACCCAGCCCATCGGCAGCGGATGACGCACGAGAGCTGAGATGCGATCGATGTGAAAATAGAACCAGAGGAAACGGCCGAGACCAGGCGGCCCACGGCTCTGGTAACAGGCTTTGCCGTCCAAGGCGGTTCTTATTAAATCCCGGCGGCCGGGCTCTCCGTCACCCCGGATGGCTTTGCAGGAGCCTGCGGTGAGTCTCCCACAAAAAAGCTAAGTCATTTCGCTGAAAGCTCAAGAACCCGCGCGGAGTCCCCCAGCTCCTGGTAAAGGGCAGTGGGAGTCACCGGTCGTCGTTTATTTCGACTCTTCTCGTGCCAGGGAGCTGTGCTAAGCCTCCTGCAAGTAGCAGCTCTGCAGGCCCCGGGCAGCGGTCAGATCAGGGCTGCCGGTCGCAGGTGAGCAAGAGGCCAAGAGTGAGGAGGAGGCTGAGAGCGAGGAGGAGGCGGAGAGGGAGGAGGAGGCGGAGAGGGAGGAGGAGGCGGAGAGGGAGGAGGAGGCGGAGAGGGAGGAGGAGGCGGAGAGGGAGGAGGAGGCGGAGAGGGAGGAGGAGGCGGAGAGGGAGGAGGAGGCGGAGAGGGAGGAGGAGGCGGAGAGGGAGGAGGAGGCGGAGAGGGAGGAGGAGGCGGAGAGGGAGGAGGAGGCGGAGAGGGAGGAGGAGGCGGAGAGGGAGGAGGAGGCGGAGAGGGAGGAGGAGGCGGAGAGGGAGGAGGAGGCGGAGAGGGAGGAGGAGGCGGAGAGGGAGGAGGAGGCGGAGAGGGAGGAGGAGGCGGAGAGGGAGGAGGAGGCGGAGAGGGAGGAGGAGGCGGAGAGGGAGGAGGAGGCGGAGAGGGAGGAGGAGGCGGAGAGTGAGGAGGAGGCTGAGCCAGCCAGTGTGGCTCAGTGGTTGAGCGCCAACCTATGAACCAGGAGGGCACAGTTCGGTTCCCAGGCGGGGCACACCGATATCGCCTCGTGTCATTACAAACAGCCCCTGTGTGCTTGCAGGCAGAGTTACTCTTTGATAAATCCGGGAACTATGGCTTTTCACTTGAAGGGAGCTGTCATTGGTCGCAGAAGGTTCGACAGTTACTGTCAGTGAGTGGGTGGGGCTTGCAGTCCTAAAACTGGTGGTTTGACCTTGAGCCTTGCAAGTGCGTGCACGTTGGGGACGGGGAACCGGGTGGAGGTGTCAGCGGAGCCCTCAGTGGCCATGCGGCTTCTGCACCGTCCTCCGTCCGCTCTCGCCGTGTCCCTGGCTGTTGCCCAAGAGTCTCTCCTCCACCAACCTCTGCTCAGGCCCCTCCGGTCCTGCTGCCACAGGGCCTGCACCGCCGCCTCTGCAAGCCCACACATGGCCAGGAACTCAGTCAGGTGAGCCACAGTCCAGCCTCCTCACACCGGCTCGGTCCACGTGGTGCCTGACCCCCGGGCTGCCTCGAGCAGGAATCCTGGGGGGCCGGCTTAGCCAGCATCCCCTTCACCCTGATGTTTCCTCGTGGTAATTTCCCATCCCCGGCACCCCCCTGCTCCTGGCTGCAGGCCCCACTGCGCATGTCGGATGTGGAGGGAGCCTGTTCTGCACCCACCCCTTTCCCGTGTCCGTGGTCCTGGGTATGGGCTGTCTTTCCTGTGGGAACTGCATCCAGCCCTGGTTTTCTTCGACAGCGCCTGCTAGTGATGGGCCCTGTGCTCGGCACCAAGGCCCCGCCCTCACCAAGCAGGCCTTGAGGTGGCGGCCTCTGTGCAATGGTGACGCAGAGCAGAACTTTCTGGAAGCTTCCAGCCCAGATGTTCTGCATGCGGTTCACGGTGTCGCCCTAAAAAGGCACCAGCAGGCTGTCTCCCTAAAGGGCCAATAAGAAACATTTTAGGCTTTTAGGGCCACATTAGTCTCTGTTGTCCAT